TTTTCGCCCATCGTCGTCCGTCGTGCGCCGTGCGTTAACATTTTAACATTTTCAGCTTCTTCTCTGCAACCACTCAACCATTTTCAACCAAATTTGGCACAAAGCATTTGTTGGTGAAGGGGAACAAAAATTGTGAATTTCATGGTCCCTGCCCCCCCCCCTGGGGCTTGAGGGGTGGGGCAAAAGCACTAGAATTAATGAAATCTTTAAAAATCTTCTTCTTTACTCCTGGACACCAAGCAGTCAAACTGTATGATTGTAATAAGCATTGAGTCCTCTACCAAAATTGTGAAATTCATGGCCCCAGGGTCAGGAGTTCTAGTGCTAGGGCGGGGCTAAATAGATTATATAGTGAAAATTCATAAATTCTTTGAAAATCTTCTTTTCTGCTTCTGGGCATTAAAAAAACTAACCAAGTACATAGTTTTGTTGAATAAGACTGCCTCTACCAAAACTGTGAAATTCACGGCCTCTGGGTCAGGGGTTCTAGTGCTAAGGTGGGGCTCTATTGATTATACAGTGAAATTGTATAAATTCTTTGAAAATCTTTTTCTCTGCTCCTGGGCATTAAATAAACTAATCAAGTACATAGTTATGTCGAATAAGGCTGCCTCTTCCAAAATTGTGAAATTCATGGCCCCAGGGTCAGGGGTTCTTGTGTTAGAGCGGGGCTCTAATGATAATATAGTGAAATTGCATGAATTCTTTGAAAATTTACTTATTTAGGTAAATAAAGCTATATAGGTAAATTAAGCTATATAGCTAAATATAGTGATTTTACTGGACCTGATAAACAATATAGCCTGAAGAAATTTAAAAAAAGCAAGTATACACAAATGTATACAAGCATGTAGTATCGTTTGTGGCAGCCAGAAAAAATTATTTTACACTTAATTGAAAAAAAGTTCACTCTACTCCCAATCCTCCCTGTCTGTTTAATGATAGGAATTATAAATTTAGGCATCAAGTATATTTTAGAACAATGTCTACACATTCACCTAACACATATTAAAAAATGAAGATATATTGAAAGAGTTTTAAAGAATTGATTTTTTCAAATATATTTTGATCAACATCACAAAATTTATATCACTGGCCCGAACTGGCAGGGAGTATTGGGAGTAGAGTAAACTTTTTAAAATAATTTCGCTGGAGCCTGTTAGGATAGCATAAAAAAGAAGCAAATAACAATGTACAAATGTCGATAATTGATTTATCCCAAAAAAAAATTATTTTCTTCTTCTTCAGAACTTTTTTTATTCTGATGTTTGTAACTAAACCTAAAAAAAAAAAATGCTGGCCTTATGATGAAGAAAGGTGTCTCTTTCAAAATGGATAAGTTCAGGGCCTCCGGGTCAGGAGTAACGGGGGAGAGGGTTACTTTGTCTAAAAATAAATTAATGCTTTGAAATCTGCTCTTTGATAAGCGATGGTGCCTCTTTCAAAATTTATGAATTTCATGGCTTTTGGATTAAAACACGAACACTAAATTAGGGTGGGGTCATTAAAAAATCTTCTTCTCAAGAACCACTGGGCCATCCTGGAGCAGTGTAGTTTCTAAATTGTACAAATCATGACCCCCAGGAGTAGGACGGGCCACAATGGGGAATCAAAGTTTTATATAGAAATATATAGGAAAAATATTTGAAAATCTTCTTCTCAAGAAACCACTGGGCCAGAAAAGCTGAAATTTATGTCGAAACATCCTGGGGCAGTGTAGTTTCTAAATTGTTCAAATCATGACCCCTGGGGGTAGGGTGGGGCCACAATGGGGAATCAATTTTTACATAGAAATATATAGGAAAAATCTTTGAAAATCTTCTTCTCAAGAACCACTGGCCAGAAAAGCTGAAACTTATGTGCACATGGAAGCATCCTGGGGTAATGTAGATTTCAATATGTCTAAATTATGATCAGTGGGGTAGGGTAGGGTTGCATTATGAATTACAAGGGGGAAAGAACAGAATGGTCAAAGCTTCTCAGGTGAGCGATGTGGCCCATGGGCCTCTTGTTTAGTTTGTGAGTAAAATGTCAAGAGTTTACACATTGATAAATTTTTCAGAAAGAATGTTTAATCCTATAATACAAGCTAGATAAGAAGTAAAGGTTAATGTTTTAAATTTATTTTGACAGATTCCAAAGGATGTGTCAGAGCCATTGTTAAGAGGATGACGAAATCACCACCATGCAGGTTTTTATATTTCATTCACTCTAGTACTGCTAAATATGGTCAAACACTGCAGCATTGATCAAATTTATTGACATATTGATAAGGGAAATAACTCCATTGTCTATCTTTTCCAAGTAGAAAATTGAGTTATTCCCCTTTTCATACATGCTAAAAATACAGTTTTTGAAGCTCAAGTGAACTGTTCTGATCACATTTTTATGCCCCCGTAAGCGAAGTTTCGGGGGTATATAGTTTTTGTCATGTTCTTCCGTCTATCTAGCTGACTCTCTGTCTGTCAGTCTGTCTCTCTGTCTGCCTGTTTGTCTGCAACTTTAACCTTGCCCATAACTTTTGATTTAGTGGAGCCATGACTTTCATATTTCACATGTGTATTCCTTGTGACAAGACCTTTCTTTGGGTACCACCAGATTTGATCTTTTGACCTTGACCTTGGAGTTTGACCCACTTTTACATGAAAATTTTAAACTTTTACTTTGGCCAAATCTTTTGAACAGTAGATACCAGGCCATTTATACTTCACATATGTAATCTTTGTTGAAAGACCTTTCATTGGATACCAACAACCTTGACCCTTTGACATTGACCTTGTAGATTTCTGTTCTTGTGAAAAAACTTTAACCTTGGCCATGACTTTTGAACAGTAAGGTATAGGGCTTTCATACTTCATACATTTAATCCTTGTGAAAAGACCATTCATTGGATACCAAGAACTTTGACCCTTTGACCTTGACCTTTGAGATTGACCTACTTTATATAAGTAAACCTTGACCATAACTTTTAAAGGGTTAGGGCTAGTGCTTTTATACTTTACATATTTTATCCTTGTGACAACACCTTTCATTTCATAACAGAAACCTTGACCCTTTGACCTTGACTGTGAAGTTTGACCTACTTTTTTAAAAACTTGAACCTTGGCCATAACTTCTGAACTTTTAGGGCTAGGGCTTTCGTGCTCTGCATAAGTATTCTTTGTGGCAAGACCTTTCATTTGATACCAAATTACATTGACCTTTTGACCTTGACCTTGGAAAAAAAACTTCAACATTGGCTTACTTTCAAATTTCACAATTGTTTTCCAGTGAGAATACCCTACTTATTGTACCAATTAATTAAATTTGCATTTAAGAAAAGTTTAATGTTTGATATGTTAAATTGCCATACAGGGGCATCAGTGTTTCACAAACACATCTTGTTTAATTTAAGAAAATATAATTTATTTTCACATAATTAAATGAAAGAAAGTAGAAATATGTTTTTGTAAGAATGATAAATATTAATGTCCCTTGTTTTGTTTTTTGACTGACTAGGACAGAGAAGCAAGATGAAAAGAAACAAACTTGTGGTTACCAGATACCAGAAATTGATGTGGTAAACATTTCTCTGTTACTTTATATAACTGTTAAAAAAAACTTTAGGTCATGCTTTAAAGGTACTTGGACACAGATTTGAAGTTAATTTTTTCTCTTAATATTACAACTTATATATTTTAAGAGCATTTCACACAAAAATTGATTAAAAATCTTATTTAATTTAAAAGTTATTACAATTTTAAAGTTTTTGGCGTGTTTGATTGACACATTCCTGCACTTTCACAAAGTTTAACTTTATTCTTAATCCTTTGGAAAAGTGGCAATCTTGTTGTGTATTAATGAAAAATATTAATACTTTAATCTAGAAAATTCAGAGTAGACATGTTCGAAAGCAAAACAAACACACAATATATTGTCAGTCTGTGCAGTTGTGGTGAGCAGACTTTGGGGATTAAACCCGGTGAATTGTAAACATCAAACAATAACAGGCTCTTGCCTTGTTTACAAAAACTGTGTACATAACACGAGTGTGCTAGATTTGCAAAACTTTGTACATAACGGAATGACGATACTTTTGAAGGAGTTTAGCTTTCTAATATTTCTACTCTGAAAAAAAATTATATTTCTCTGGATTTAAGTTTTAGTATTTCTCATTGATACACAACAAGATTGCCACTTTTCCTAAGGATTAAGAAAAAGGTAAAATGTGTGAAAATGCAAGAATCAAACCTGCCAAAAAATTTAAAGTTTTGAGAACTTTTAAATGAAACAAGATTTTTAATTAATTTTTGTGTGAAATGCTATAAAAATATATAATTTGTGATATTATACAGAAAAAATTAACTTCAAAGCTGTGTCCAAGTACCTTTAATACAGAGTGTATCATATTCTCTTTTCATTAAGAACATCAAGATTGAATGCTTCACAACCTTGTAAAATATATATTTAAAAAAAAAAAAAAATCGGTGTTTATAATGGTAATTTTTTTGTAAATGATAAAATTGACTCACTAAAGGTAAATACAATGTCCATGATGTCTAGTGATTTTATTTTGTTACCTAAAAAGTTCTCCAGCATTTCACAATTTATAATTATGTGTTTTAATTAATAAATACTGCTTTGTTAAACAGGTTTGATTGAGAACACTTGGAGGCTGTTATAATTTGAGACAAAGCATTGAGTACTTAGTGTAAAGGTATAATGTTTATCTGGGTATTAATTCTTTTCTTCATGTTCTTTTCTATAAGTTTATAAAACCAAGGCATGAGTATATTTGAGTATAAATGAGTATGTTATGAAGAGAGCCCTCTTATTGATGTACCAAGGCATTGTTAAATGTGTACAGTATATTATAAACAGAGCCCTGTTATTGATGTACAAAGGCATTGTTAAATGTGTACAGTATATTATAAACAGAGCCCTGTTATTGATGTAGATAATTATAACACAGTGTTGTTATTTACAGAAGGAAATCAACACAGGATTATAAAGTCACAGGATGAAGATGAAATAGATCTGTAGTGTCAGTGATGTATAGACTGGTGTTACAGAAATCTATCACAGTGCCAGGTGTTAGTGAGTGTGTTCACATTACCCACGTGACATCAGACCGGGTCTGGATCTGTGATTATAGAGGCAATCTCATACTGACAAACACCGCGGGTAAAAAACTACATCATGTGAAAGATTTATGTGAATATGGTGGTGGACTACATACTGTGACTGGCGAGGGTTATTTAATTTATATAGACAGACACCGTAACATCATTAAACTGTCTAAAGATCACAGAATAAAGACCACAGTAATACCCAACACAGCACCATGGATACCACTTAGTGTCTACAGCTCCCCCTCCACTGGAGACCTGCTGGTTGGGATACGTATTACTGATACAAAGACAGCCCAGGTAAACCGTTACACTGCAGGACAACATATACAGACCATACAGCACGACAACACAGGTCAGAGACTGTATAGTAATCCTTACTATATCACAGAGAACCGCAATGGAGATGTTATTGTGTCTGACTCGTGGCGTAGTGCTGTAGTGGTGACAGACAGTAGAGGGAGACATCGCTTCTCCTACACAGGTCCTCCATCAGGATCAGGACTAGATCCACGTGGAATCTGTACTGACGCGCTGTCACACATCCTGCTGTGTGATGTTAACACCCACACAGTACATATACTGGACAGTGACGGGGGACTCCTGTCACAGATAGACAGAGAACAACACGGGATAGACACACCACGCGGCCTGAGTTATGATGACAGAACTCACTGTGTCTGGATCGGATCACGGTACAACAACACAGTGAACATACACAGACTTATACCCGGGGACTCCCTTACTGGTAAGTATTACATTAATATGATTAGGTGTTTTGTTTTACAATGTTCAGTGCGTACAATGTATTATTTTCAGTGTTTTATATGTATTTACAAGACATTAATCAACATTTTTATTGTATTAAGTGTAATTAAATTACATAAGTAATTCTAATATAACTTAATTGTTGCATTAAATACATGTAAGTAACAAGAATTATTACTAATATGAGGATACATAGATTTTAGACTGTAATTTATCACATGATAACTAAGGTAAATACTTTTAGGTTAAAATGCTTATTATTTCATCAGTTAAGAGTTCTTTAATGTGTACTTGGTGTAGTTATAACTTTGTTATGTTTGACAAACTACTGATTTTGTTAAGTGCGTTTGAAAGAAAGTAAATTTAATGTAAAGTCAGCATTGTGTACAAGTCATAACAATCAACATTTTTTCTATAGAGCTCTTAAACTGACTATCACAATTAAAATATCACAGTAACAAAATTAAACATGATTAAGCACGCAAAAACACATTTGTGTACTTATATTACTCACACACATAGTAGATTTATAAGATAATCTTGGAAACAGACCGGTGATTTTTATTAAAAAAAATTATTATTCACTATTTGCATAAAAAGGAGAAAAATAAATAAATAAAAAGTGATGATAAAACTCATAATAATGAATTAAATGAAACACTATGTCAGACATAGGGACATAAGGGACAGGTTGTTTTTATAGTAGAAAGTATAGTAGAGTTGACATAGACTGTCGTACATCACCATTAAATTGGGATTCATGCTAAAATCGAAAATATTATACAATTATGTTACAATTAATTCAGACAAGAGAAAATCAATCCTTTTGATAACAAATCAAAGTTCAGTATCTGATAGTCTTAAACAGTTCAACCATAAGCTATGATCACATTCAATGTGTAATCTTCTCTCTCTGGCTGATGATATACAATGAGCCTCTACTGGGTTGACATTTTATTGTCTACTTCTACATGTAACAGAGTAAATCAGTACCAGTCCAGTTTTCTGGTTTGTAAGTTAAATTTAGCAGGAAATAGGGGCTGTACAGTTGTAAAATGGGTGGATTAGAGGGGGGTGGGGTGGGTTACAGGTGTAATACAGGTGGATTGGGGGTGCGGGTATTGCAGATCAGGGATGTGGAGGGGGCAATGTCATAGTTGATATATGGTTCTTTTAACATTCCATTCAAACAAAATTCAATCGTGGTGCATGACTAAAATATTTTACCAATTTTCAATAGATGACATTTTGTACAAGTTGACAGCGATATAGACACCATTGATATTAACACAGCTTCTGCCTAGGAATGTTGTGTATTTCTGTAGCAGGTGTTTAGAAAATCTACACTTTGCACTGGGTTGACAAATTTTACATGTATATGATGTATATTAATTTTATTTTTTGCCAATTGAAAATAAAAATAAAGCCAAATTTGAGAATTAAATTTTAAATATTGTACCAACACTCTAATAAAGAAGAGATGATATTATTGTTTTACCCTTCAGGCCTTGTGTGTCTGTCTGTCAGGATGTGTCTGTCAGTCTGAAACAATTTTTTTTCACCTTTTTTACCCAATAACTTTTCGTTGCAGGTGCTTAAAATTTAAGCACTCTCTTTGTTTTTGCATGCCACATGTTGGGATTCATCTTTAAGAATGTGATGCCAACTTCCTGTTTATTCATGTGTCTGTCTGTACCATATATATAACACAGATTTTCATCACATTTTTTTCAACAATAATGTCTACTCATTGAAGATGCTTCAAAGTGTAGCACACTCTTTGTTTAGGCATGTCATATGATGGGATTTTTAGCTCACCTTGAGCCGTAGGCTCAAGTGAGCTTTTCTGATCACATTTTGTCCGGCGTCCGTCTGTCCATCTGTCTGTCCGTCTGTCTGTAATCTTTTCACATTTTCGACTTCTTCTCAAGAACCGCTGGGCCAATTTCAACCAAACTTCCCACAAAGCATCCTTGGGTGAAGGGGATTCAAGTTTGTTCAATGAAGGGACAAGCTCTCATTCAAGAGGAGATAATTGGGAATTAATGAAAATTTCGTAGTATACTTTAAAAATCTTCTTCTAAAGAACCACTGTGCCAGGAAAGCTGAAACTTATGTGGAAGCATCCTGGGGTAGTGTAAATTCAAGTTTGTTCAAATCATGACCCCCAGGGGTAGGGCTGGGCCACAATGGCCGACCAAAGTTTTACATAGAAATATATAGGATAATTCTTAAAAAATCTTCTTGTCAAGAATGACAAAGCCATAATTCAGCATATTTATATGAAAGCATCCTCAGGTAGTGTAGATTCAAGTTTGTTCAAATCATGACCCCCGGGGGTAAGGCGGGGCCAAAATGACCGACCAAAATTTTACATAGAAATATATAGGAAAGGCTCAAACCAAAGGCTCAAGTGAGCTTTTCTGATCAAAATTTGTCCGTCGTCTGGAAGCATTATATTAATTCTCAAGAAGTGAAGATTCAAGTTTCTGCAAATCATACCCTCTCACCTTTAAGGAATGGTTGGGACTACTTTTGGTAGGGGTGGGACGATATACCTATACACCGATACATACCGATATTTTCCTCCAAGATACTGTTTACGATACAAGCATTCAAATATCGGTACGAAACGATACACGAACGACCTATCCAAAAAATGAAAATGAAAGTACCTGTCCTTGGAAAATGGCTGCTTGTACGAAGCGAAGAGATTATTTTGATATTGAAAACACACTTTAGAACTAATAAGGGGTAAAACGTTTTCACTTTTAAGCAGGCTCAGGAGATTGGACAAGAAAAGCTCAGTACGAAATGCGTTCTATACACAAAAAATATCGTTTCCAGAACATTTGATATTATAAATTGTTAGTCCACCTCGTTCTTTTTTTTGTAATCTCAACTTTGCGACACACTTTCAGCAATGAATTGATAATAATGTAAACATGATAGATGTTTTTCAATGAATTTTTAGTCAGTGTTCTCTGATGAACTACACAACTATTTGTTTACAAATTCTGAATAGTAATAATAGTATGTACGTGTATTATTGTTTTGTAAAGTTTTAGTCAATGAAATTGATGAACTTCAAGTATTAATTTCAAAGCAAAGTTAACATGATTTGATATAGAATAATTTGTTGATTTCATGTCAAGACAAAAAAAAAATAAAATACTTATTCTTTGGAATAGTTTTATAATTTATCATAATATCGAGATACGTATCGTATCGTGCCAATATATCAAGATACGTATCGTATCGCAAGATGTGTGTATCGTCCCACCCCTAACTTTTGGGTTTAAACTTTTCAACAATAAACTATTTTATGCTAGCCACAGTGCTCAGGTGACCAATGTGGCCCATGGGCCTCTTGTCTAATCACATTTTTGTCTGTTGTCCATCTGTCCCTCCGTCAGTCTGTAAACTTTTCACATTTTCAACTTCTTCTAAAGAACCATTTGGCCAGTTTTAACGAACTGTGGTACAAAACATCCTTGGGTTCAGGGGAGTATTGTTTAAAATGAAGGACCGAGTCTCCTCACAAGGGGTAATTATCAAGAATAGACGAAAATAAAGAGGGGTCATTAAAAATCTTCTTCATAAGAACCCCCGGGACAGAAAAGC